ATAAAAACCTATGGATCATAATAATATTGATGTATCTCTTCTTTGAAAGAGGACCAAATCCAATTCCCTCAATGAAATTTAGGGGAAAAATTTTAAAATTAGAAGCATAAGTATAACAACAATTTTAAGCAAGAATTTAATCATTTTCAGGAAAATTGTAACTTGTAATTTTGTAAGGTACAAGTGACTAGTAAATTTGATAATGTATAGCAAATTATGTGCCGCTTGTCTCATTGAATTGTATTCATGCTTGTTCACTTTATCACAACAGAATATTTTCTGTACATAAAATACCTCAGATCAAGGTGTGCTTGTTTGTGTGTGCAGCCATTGACATCGTTAAAAGGAAATGTGAGACTTTAATTTCATTAAGTGAATGTTACATTAAAAGTTTGTTGAATATAAAATATTATTCATTGTATATATCTAATTATCACTATATTTTTGTACACATTAGCTGTCCTACTTTATCCTCCCTACCCACTACTCTTCCCAGGCTCTAGTAACCATCATTCTACTCTCTGTCTCCATGAGATCAATTGTTTTAATATTTAGCTCCCACATGTTAGTGAGAACATGCAAGATTAATCTTTCTGTGCTTGCCTTATATGTGAAGCTCTAAGGAGGGAATGGATTATAGAAATCATTTTATCTAATAGCAGTATCATCAAAACAGTGTAAACTTGTGCGATTAAATATTGGCTAAAGTCACAACACTGGAGAAGAATCAAGCCAACACTAGAACTCAGGGCATCTGATTTTCATCCTGTTTCCTTTCCAGAGGCCATCGTTTTTCTTTAATATTTCAGTTTTAAACTTGCCACATATATGGAATTATAAACATGTGGATGTATACAACATTCTCTGTCTCATTTCTGAAAAACAATGAAAGCTAACCAAAGGAAAAATACAGGTTTCCTAATTAATTATCAGACTGTTTTTCATATTTAACATTTTCCATATATATCATTAAATCAAATCTGTTAAATAAATTTAAAGTTTTTAACATATTTTGCAATAGTAATGGGGCATAGGAAATCATGACCATGGGGCTAGTTTGAAAGATAATCAGTGAAAGTATCTTATAAATGTCTAATATAATCCTTGCCTTCCCAGTGATGGATTTCTCACCTCCCATCTTGTGGTAGGGGCTAGTTTCTTTCAAGATTGCCTAATGATTAAGATAGGCTTTGAGGAAGGATGAAATCCCAACCTTATCACTTCCTGGTTGAAATGTTCAACCTTGGACAAAAATCTAATGATTCTAAACCCAGTTTTCTTGTATGAAAAATGGGAAATATAATGGTGTCAGCTTCACAGGAGTGTTGTGATTATCAAATGAAAAAATGCATAATAAGATTTAAGAGTTACTCCCATAAATCGTGATTTCCTTTGTCACCTATTAATATGAGTTGATCAAATGGTTAAGTAGAATAGTCATGTTAAAAACCGCTGAAAGTAATGAAATGCAAATATGACGTTTACCAAAATCAATGGACTAGACATATACACACACACACGCATACACACACACACAATTTGGCTCTTAGGAAAGAAAAAATCCTAAAAAGAGGAATTTTTGAAGGGAAAAAAGAAAATCAGTCAATTCCTGGATGATTAGGATTCAAATCCAGGTAATGTAAGTCACTGTGATTCATCAACTCTTAATTATTAATACAATGCCCAAGCAAGCAGAATGAACAAGATAGGTAACTGTGATGAAACCTTAAAACTTATCTGGTAACTTGTTTAAACTCTTCTGAAACTTTAAGACCAACATGAAGCATCAAACAGAGTGCCAGTCTAAGCTCGTTGCAGGCATTTTTATATTTAATAATCACAGCATCACAAGCTAATACTATTTTTCACTTTTATGGAAGATATATAGAAAACTGAAGCTTGGAGAAGTTAAAGTATTCAAGGCCTAGAAATGTTAGAGTTGGTGCTGGGATTTAAATTCTGGAAAGACTAGATTCCAAAGCATTTACTCTTGAACACAGGATTGGCTAATGCACATACAACAAAAGAGTGAGAAATGTATCACAACAAAAACAAATGAAACAAAGCTCTGTATGCAAAGCTCATGCTTAACAGAATGGAATTTGTTAGGTGCGATTCAGCTGAAAAGGAAACTCTGGCAGTCACAGTAGAATCACTAGGAAGGAACAGAAAAGAAAAAGAGCAATGATGGAGTCAGTGACAATAAAGGGCAAAAGAAGTAACAGAGCCTGCAAGGAGGATCTTTTCTGAGAGCACAAAGGAAGAGAGCAAGGAGCCATACAAATGGAATTCTATGAAAAAAGGGGCAATGGGCTGTCTTTATGATTTTTCATGACATTTTATTCCTCAACTCCGTGTGTGGGAAGTGGGTTTTGGAAAAGAGTAAGAAAAGCATGACCTGTGTTTTAGCAGTATAAAAATTATGACCTTCATTTAGTACCATAACCCATTAATCACCTAAGAGACTATTATTCAAAACCAGTAATTAGCTGATAATCCCAGGCTTTGCTGTAGCTGTCATACAATTTCATTATATAAACAATGGTTTTGGTTATCTTTACAATTTAACTACCCTCCCATGCAAAGTCGTTTTGATCTTTATATTCTGAAGGTTTCCTCTGTTGAGTACTTTGTATTGCTCACATCAATGAAGCATGTAAAACAAGCATGTTTTTATGTAATTGAGATTTTAAACTCAAGAAAATTTATAAAATGTGTGATCATAACAAAGTAATATCTCACTTTAAAAATACAAAATGCATATAACTAAATATATGTGCATTAAATACATAATCAAACCATCCATTTATGCTATTTACTTTGAAAAACCAAACTTAATTATTTTGCCTTGGAATAGATGTAGTCTTAATCTAACCAACAAAAAACGTAGCACCCTTTGGCCTC